GCTCCTGCCGGTTCCCCCAGTCGCTGACACTCCGGGCACAAAGTATGTAGGATCCGCCCTGGATCCAGAGAGCTACGACGCCCTGATGCTGGGACACCTGCTCGCTCCAGCAGCTGACACCACAGGCTGCAGGGCGCCTGTGTCCCCAGTCTGACTCCAGGAGTTGGCACCAGCTTTCTCTTACACAGGTCCCACCAGTAGCTGGCACTTAGTCCTTGCAAGTATGCATACACACAGGTTAGAAAGTGAGATTACACAGAGAGATAGTTAAGATTTAAGAAGCAGATATAAGAAGGTAGGACAGACTGTGATGATCATGCGCAGGGCTCAGCCAGGCAAGTGTACTGACTGTCCGTGTTTTACACACAGCTGACCTCTTTTATACCCCTCTCTGCCTATTCCCATCTTTACTCCTCCCTGCTCCCCTTCCCCTGCCCATCCCTCATGGGTTTGTACAGCTCTATCAATTCCTGCAACCCCTCCAGTCTGGGGTCCCCCTGGTTTACAGTCTTACCAGTTGCAAAGTCCAGGTTGATCTTTCCTGGAAGTGGCGCCCACAGTTTCTTGATAGCCCGTAGATCAGTGTGAGTGGTGAGGTTTGTTTCCTGTCATGGTCTCTATGTTTGTTTTGTCAGGTCTGTGTCTCTGTATGTTTTGTTTCTGGTTTCCCCTTCTTCCCTTAGTTTCCCAGTTCACAAGGTCCCAGATCAGATAACCTTGCTGGAATAAACATTCTCACACTCTCACATGCCCTCGTTGAATTAGTGTGAAATTAGGTTTGGTTCTCATCACCACTTCTCTTGTCGTTTGCTGATCAGGTTTGTGTCCCCATATGCTCTTGTTTTATGGCTTCCTCCCTTTCTTATGACACCAAACTGGGAGGAGTGGTAGACACACCGGAAGGCTGTGCTGCCATTCAGCGTGACCTGGATAGGCTGGAAAGTTGGGCAGAGAGGAACCTGATGAGGTTCAACAAAGCCAAATGCAGGGTCCTGCACCTGGGGAGGAACAACCTCATGCACCAGTACAGGCTTGGGGTGGACCTGCTGGAGAGCAGCTCTGTGGAGAGGGACCTGGGTGTCCTGGTGGACGACAGGTTAACCATGAGCCAGCAGTGTGCCCTGGCTGCCAAGAAGGCCAATGGCATTCTGGGATGCATTAGGAGGAGTGTGGCCAGCAGGTCGAGTGAGGTTCTCCTCCCCCTCTACACTGCCCTA